CAACGTGAGGTGGCCCCAGTGACCGAGGAGAGGGCAGCAGTGGTGGGTGAAGCACGGTGTGCAGCCAGGAGCAGGATCTGGCCCCACTTCCCCCTGCGGGATGAGGAGCCAGAGGAGATTCCAGTGGGAATCCAGAGCCAGGGAGGGTGTTGCAATAGCTGACCCAAGTCCTCTTGCTTGAATAATGCAAAAATCAAGGTGCCGTTTGGCAAAGCGACCATGTGGTAGGCTGCAGCCAGCGCCAGCAGCTCTTCACCTGTTTTTTTCAGGGCTGTGAGGGACTGCCACAGCCCTCTCAGGATCATGGCCCAGACTGCGAGATGTGTTCTGGCCTCATGTGGGTGTCCTGTTCATTTAATGGTTTACAAAACACGGCCCATGCCTGCCTTGCCCCCTCTGCTCATCTGGATAGGGTTGTGGTGTGATGCCAACCTCACCTGCCATGTTATCGGGCGTGACATGGGTTGCCCGGAGCTGCTGGCAGTGGAGGGAGGTTGGGCAACAGCCACAGGTCAAACCCAGACATCAACAACCCAAATCTCACGCAGGCGGGTGGAAAAGGGGGGGTCAAGGTGGAGGCCACCTGGCAGTTCCTTCACCCAGGAGAGCTGATTTATTTTCTTCTCATGTCCTCTGTAAGCACTAATTTCTCCTGTAACCAAGCAATCACCTCTCTTCAGGGGAAGGGAGATGAAAGGTTGGGTGGCTGCGGTGGTTGCCTCTTGGGCAGCATGTGGAGAGGCCTGTGAAACACAAGCCCCTCTGTTGGCCTGACCCAGCTGGGCAGGACAGCGGTGCTTCAGCATCCTCGGGCCAGCGCCCCACCAGCATCCTCAGGCTCCTACGCAGGGGCTTTTCCCCAGACCCTCTGGCTTTCATTGAAGTGGGAAGCTCAAGCATATGCTGCTGCTGCAGCGAGCAGAAAATGGGCTGAGAGTCTGCTGTGTTCTGATCAGCCGGTCACGGCTCTAAACAAGATGCAAGAGCCTTGAGGCTACTTGGCTGTCATTAAAATGGTGTGGATGGAAGGAAAAGTGTAATTGACTGAACAACAGCCTGAGCCGTGTAATTAAACTAATTGTGGCTCTACCTGCATGGGTCAGAAGTGATTTGTGTGGCTGTTAAAGCACTGCCAAATAAGAGGTGGGGAGGTGTGAAAGTATTTCTTACATGTGTTTCCACAGGTAATTTTGCTATTTCATTTCAGGCAATTTTATGCCCTTGAAATTTTTGGTTTCTGTCAAATTTGAGGAGACTGTTAATATTTCACATTGAAGCCGGGGAAAGCAAAAAGGTCACCGTTGTTAGCAGTTTCAGGCGGCAGCGTTTCAAGTAGAGGTAACACTTTTTCAGGGCTATTTGCTTATTTGAAGTGAAATTCCTCAAAAAAAGGAGGGGAAGATCTGTTTTCCAGAATGCATTTCAGCCTGGCTCTGCACCCGCTGGGGAGCACGCAATTGTTTTTATTGACTCGAGCAGCAGAAGACCAGGCCTTCTGCACGGCTCGGTGAAACTCGGGTCACTGCTTTACTGCCAGGGATTTATGACCCTAGCTTTTAGCGACTGTTTTGAAAGTCTTGGCTTTAGAATATGATGTATTTAGAAGAAGCCAAATGAGAAACCTGCTGTAGTGTCATGTTTAAACTCTTTGACCTTGTTTTCAAGTCCTTGCGAAGCAGAGCCCACCTCCAGCTTGTAGCTCTGCTCTTATTGATTATCATTTTAAGTCCTTCGGGTGTTTTGCTGTGCCCAAAGCACCGTGAGCATTTCAGAAGGAATAATGTGACATGACAGAGAGCTGCTGACCCGACTCTGCTCTCCCTAGGCTGTCAGCACAGGGCAGAGCCCTGTGCTCGCGCTGGAGGAGACCCATGAGGATAAGTGGAGGGGCTGGTGTATTTTGTCCCAGTAGGACCACTTGTCCAGCGTGTGAGCTGATGTCTAAACATAGGAGTCAAACACTTAGCCTGGAGCAACCGATGCCTGTATTTTTCCTGGTCAGAGCTGCGTGTCCAGGGAAGGACATGGTGCAGCTGGGCTACAGGACATGCGTGAGCCCTTCTGCCTTAATCATCCATCACTGTAGGAGACAGGACAGTAGGTGGGATGAACTGTCAGTGGGTCCTCTTGCCTGTTTTTCTGTTTCTTGACTGTGGAGAAATCTCTATAAATCTAGTTTATTCTTTCTGACCTGGAGATGAAGAACCTCATTTCTCAGGTAAGAATAAACTGCTGGTACAGTCTACTGCTCCTCTATCATCCTACCCCAAGTATATGGAAAATGAGGTGTGATCACCCATCTGCAGTATCGCTCCAGCAAAAACAGGGGAAAGAGCACAGGGAGAGCAGGATATATACATCCTTTTTTAAAGATAGCAGCTTACCTACTGTTTTTTGTCTCAGAAAAAAAAGTGAGTCAAAATGGCTTCTGCTGAGCCTAATTTGTTATGTCTCCAGGCATAGCTAATTATCCTGACTTAGCCCGACTCTGAATTCTTCCCAGGGGTTTTGGTGCTATTTCTTCTGTTTTGATTTATAAATTGTCTTTATTTTACTTTCCTCCTACACATTCTATACAATCTTTTTGCTCCCTGCCTTACTGAGGAGCCAGGAGCTGGTGTGGCAGTGCTATCACAAAGTGCGGGACAGAAAGGGGATTCATTAACCAAAGCCTTTCCTTTGGGTGTCCAGCAATGCTTTCTTCTGGTGTCTGCCTCATGGGCCATGTGAAACAGTCTCTTCTCCTCAGAAGGCTTTTCTGTGCTGCCACTTAACTTCTGGGCTTACCTGCAGCCATCCTTGGGCTAGAGGGGTTGTGAGGCTCAGGGCTGGCTCCATAGCTCAGAGGGCTTTGGTTACAGCCTTCACCCTCCAGCAAGGAATTTTCTGGCTTCTCCACTGACGTATCAGAATGAATTACAGTTATTTTCGGGTTCAGCTATTCCCTTCACAGTTGACACAGTTTTTCTAACCTCAGCGACAAATTCTGTGGGGGAAGGAAATCCATCTTCTGTAATCATGGGGTGTCAATTGTATTAAGCAGGAGACAATACTGCTGTTGAGCCTGGGTTTGGGAGACCATCTCTGTTGAGGACACTTTAGAAACGGTAGCTAATGAGTACCTCAAGCGTCCCATGGGGAAAATGGGTACTGCTTGCTTAGCCCTCTTTAACCCCTCTTCCTAGTGTTGCTTCGTTTCCTGACATACCCACTTGGGGTTTTTTTTAATTTTTTAAATTTTTTTAAAAAATTTTATTTATGTGTGCATCTGGAAATGTTTTTGTCAACAGACTTCTCTGGGAGATTGTAGCACTGGTCACGCTTATGCCCCTGGTGGAGGCTTAAATTTGACTTTTTGTAAAATGGGCTGAGAACTAGTTGAGAGCCAACGCTATGCCAGTCCCAGACCCTGTCTTCTGCGCTGGCCAAGGACAGATGCTGAGGAGTGAGGATAAAACCAGGAAAAGTAGGGAGTGATACTTCCTTGGAAGAGTCCCTCAACCTCCAGCAACTTGCAGCTCAGGGATTTCCAGAACTGCAGTGGTAGCTCCTGGTGGATTTTCCTTCCATTATTTTTCCTCTTAATTTCTTTTTTGAAGTCATGTAAACTCTTAGCATCCAGCATGTTCTGGGGTGGGGAGTCTCACTCCATAGCTGTGCATGTTGCGGACTATCACCTTTTGCTCTTTTTTAACCTACCACCTGCTGTCTTGACTTAATCCCTTCGTAGTTCTTGTGTCAGAAATGGTGAATACTCGTATTCTATGACACTGATACATTCATAGGCCCCTGTCAGTCACCTCTTCCATAGGACGATGGATCCTAGTTCATTTAACCTTTCCTCATGTGGAAGATGTTCCACACTTTTGAGCATCCTTTTGGCGCTCCTCCATGCCTTTTTCTGACTTTGCAATACCTTCTGTAAGAGGAAGGGAGAACTGGACTTATTTTTCAAGTCGTGAGTACAATATAGACACTGGTGTAATAACGTAGCCTGTTCTCGCTTTCGTTCTGAATTGTTTCGGTGTACTGGTTATATGCTTCTTAGGAACTAAAATCAATGGAAATACTCATTAAATTTTTAGTCAGACTCACCCAATTGATCCTCGGGATTTTGGAGTCCTGACTTAGTGGGATTTCAGTGGTTCACAGGCTGGCTATAGTCACTAGCGAGCATCATCTGAATACAGCTGGCAATGACAATAGCATATGCGACATGGTGTACAAGGAGGTGCTGAGCAGATCAGCAGTTTCCTTGCCAGGCATTGCAAGTGTGCAGCTGTGATCACTGTCATGACAGGGGATCAGGGCACAGGATTCTAACGTGGGGCATGTCCATAGCGGAGGTGCCGTTGCAAAGCTACGCTATCACAGCCATGCATGGCCGGCTAGGCCACACGATCTCTCAGATGGTGTCGTGGTTGGTGCACTCAGGTTTGGGCCCCAGACCCGGGGGATGTGGCATGTCCATCATGCCCTTCTCCACTGTTGCTCAGACATGCTAGATAGATTTCTTTGTCTGGACTGCTCTGTGGTGGGTCACCCAGAGGCTATGACTTCCCTGCATGCATACTGGTTCTGGAGCTTTTCTTGCAGAGCAGGTGTTGGGATGAAGAGGAGATAAGATGAGAATTGAGGGGTTTGGTATGTGCTGGTAACAACCAAGTCTGAGCCTGTTGTTAGCAGTCTGAGTGACCACGGCTCCTCAGAGGGGTGGCTGTGGAGCAAGGCAAAATGACCCTTCTTTTTCTCTCTCAGGGAAGCAGGGAGGCATGGATAGGCTGCCCGGATGTGCACCAGTCTATGCAGTGAGTCCACCTCAGACCCAGCAAGGCCCTCCCCTAAGCCCACTACTACTAATACAGCATACCTTCTTTCTCTATTTTCTCATCAGGAGCTTTGCCCAGAGCTTCCCGTTTCATCCGTGCTCAGCCAGGGTGGAGGCTGCCCTTCCTGCTCCTCCAGCCCCTGAGCAAGACCGGCTGCACGTCTGAGCCACAATGGGCAAGATGGACAATACCTCTGTGGAGCTGAGCTCTCCCTCCGAAGTGAAGCAGGCAGCCCTGGAGGAGTCAGAGCCCATCTCCCCCGAGGCCGTGAGCACCAAGAAGAAGAAGAAGAAGGAAATCCCAGACAGAGGATCCTGGAAGGGGAGATTTGACTTCTTGCTGTCCTGCGTGGGCTATGCTATCGGGCTGGGCAACGTCTGGCGCTTCCCGTATCTCTGCGGCAAGAACGGAGGAGGTGAGAGAAACACTTAGCACCTGTGCTCATCCCTGATCCTTGTCCCCTGAACGGGCTTTGGTTTGGTGTGGGTTCAGGCAAGCCGCTGGTCTCCTGGCTGAGACCTCTCCCTCATGATGTGAGTTATTAAGCTGTCAGGAGACTAGTTCCCATGGTCTGTGGGCTTTACCAGCAAGTGCAGGTTGGGAAGAGTAGCCCAAAGAAATATAACAAGAAGTTTGAGTTTTGTCAAGCTTCTGCAGTCCAGATTTGCAGGGCTACAGCAGAGAGTGTCCAGGACCTCATTTATTTACAAGGAGGGCTATGTACATAGGCACCCAGCTGGATGCTGGGGCGTTCCCAGGGAAATCAGTTTATGCCTGCTAAAGGTGGGTTTCTCCTCAGTCTAGTGTATTCTGAAGGGGTAACAGTTTTGCATCTGGGTTTGGGTCACATGTCTGAGGAGTTTTGATTAGAAGCTTTGCATGGACCATAGCAGGGCTGTGTAGACATATATACAAGCATGCATACGTGTGCATGTACACAGGCACGCATGAGTGTCATCATCTATAGAAGGAAATGAGCTTTGACTTACTACAGTGCTGTGAAAAGGGTCGCAGTTATCATCTCCATCTTAATGTTTGGAGAACAAAGGCCACGAGAGAAGGCGGCAGCTGGTGAAGGACTTACGGTAACCGATGGAGCTGGTAGCAGTGCCCTCCTCTGCGGACAGCTAACACCAGATTTTTTTGTTCTTTTTATTATTGCCCCACATTCTTTCCTTACCTATCCTCAACTGAGACTTTGCCAAACCACTGCAAGGTTAGAGAAGGGCAGGCAGATGGGGAAACAGTGCTGGGCTAGAAATCAAGAGATCTGGGAGATCAGCTCCCTGTCCAGCTACAGACTTTCTGCATGTCTTGGATCAAGTCAGAAAATGCACTCGTGTGCCTCAGCTCCCCTCTAAAACGGTGCTATTTCTTTCAGCCTTGGCAGGGAGATGCTGCTGTGGAGGGGAGTATGGGCTGCTTTGGTGTCAGTAGAGCAGAGGTTCCTTCTTCCCCCCCTGCCCATGCCCAGCTCTCGCATCGTTTGTGCCTGTTACTAAAATAACCTTCCCTCCCCCTGAAGTGTTGCTCACATCCTTGAAGCATTTTTCAGAGTTCCCACACAAGTCCAAACCCCTTCACCTCACTTTTAAGGCTGTATATATATTTTTAGTATCACCTGCTAGTCCTTCTATGTTGTTCTTTGCTTCCCTCTTAGCTCTTCACTGCCCAGAGTCCCTGTCCCCAGTACATTCACGCTGCTCTGAGGGTCTCTTCTCACACTTCTTCTCCACAGCTTTTTTGTTTTCCTTTTGCCTCAAATTCCCTTTTCAAAACACGCTTTGTCTTTGGCTCTCACGACTTCTCCTCATAGCGCCAGCCCACTTCTGCTGTCCATGCCGCAGGTGCAGGATGCTCTTCTCCCACCCTGGGAAAGAGGAGAAGGCTGTAGCTCCCTGCAGCGGTCTGTCCATGTAGCTCCACGGCATTTAGGGGGTAACTTGGCCCTTTCTCTGAAACACGTGCAGCAAGTCCCAGTGGAAGACCAGACAGTTATCCATTTTGACAAGAAGATTTCTAATTAAGTATGTTATTTTGTACAGAAGCATGAGTGTGTGGCTGAGTCAGGTGAGGTTTATGGGAATCAGACAGGTCTTCCTAGGGGAGCCTGTGTCACCATTGCCGGAGCCATGGTGCAGGTCTGCCATTTTTATCCAGCCACACTCTGGCACCTGACTGCGCTAGCCCTCCTCATACAACATTAGCCCAGTGGCTAAATCCCAGCACTGGTTTTTAGCCCAGTCCCTGCCCTGTGACTGCTGTGTCATCTCAAACACACCGGATCCGCACTGCTCGTGGCTCCATCTCCTCAAACATAAAGGTGGGGATGATGATATCTATAATTAGATGAGAGGTGTTTTGAAGCTAAAAATCAATCCTATTTATAAAGTCAGCTGAGATCCTGGGACAGAGGGTACTGTGGAGCTGCAGAGCACTATTATTAGCATTAGCAATGGCACACAGGGTGATCTCTGCCCCAGCAGCTGCAGGCACGCAGCAGGATCAAACAGCTGCGAGAAAAAATGCCGGACAGATGAAACGCAGGAATTGGTGCCCGCCTCCTCTCCAACGCCCCGCTTCTCCTGCCAGTTCGTGCCGTTCGTGGCAGCCTGTATCGCTCATTCCTCTCACCCCTACCCGGTCTGGCTGTTCACAGGCACGACTGTTCCTGCAGCATAATGAGCAGCAAGTGGAGGCTGCTGATGCCGGAGACAGGCAGGAGAGCTGACGCACGAAAGCGTCACTGAGAGCCGATGCGGAGCGGCGAGGAAGGGTCGCACTCGGGTGGGCACCGTCTTGGCTCTGCCCGACGGAGGTGCCTCCGGAGCAGAGCAGACTGTGGGCGGGACTCTAATTTTAGCGTCCTGCATGTGCGCTGCTCAGAGCACGGTCGTGTGGGCTGCTTCCATTACGCACAGGCAAATTGAACTGAATGGAAATATTGTCGTCTCACTTACCGCTGTCACATTGTATCAGCTTTCGGCCGATTTGCTCGGCATTGTAATCGGGCACGTAATTAGGGGATATTCAGCCAGGGTACGGCAGCCCGGCGCAAGGCCCATCCGCTGCAGGGAGCAGGCTTTACCCAAAGTGATTCCTGGGCTCCCTGCTGGCTCTGCACGCAGCTGAATGTGCCCAGCTATGACTAATGCTCCAGCCTCTACACTGATTTCTAACCTCATGCAGTCCTTCTGATGTCAACAGGATTTTACCGGACTCTAAACTGACTCTAAATGTGGCTCAGTAGGTGCTAAAAATTGTCTGTGAGATCCTGCGCTTGAATAACTTGAGAGAAGAACATATCTTTAAATAAGCATCATGCATTTCTCATTTACACATTAAGACTCCAAGCAACGGCATGTAACAGCTTGTAATGCTCAACTTTTTATTTGTGGGCAGTGTTTGCCGTTTTAAGGATTAATTATTATTCCTTGCTGTATGGCATTAGGAGCTGGAGACTGCAGGCAGACTTGGGGCTGCACAGAGAGCGCCAGGCGCTGTGGGATCCTTCCCTCCCGCCAAGGGCCGGTGCCCTGAGCAGGCAGGGCAGGACCAGCGCCGTCACCCCTTTGACCCATGGACTTTGGAGACAGGTTTGTATTCTCCCAAGGTCATACACAATCATTCGTAGCAGGCCCAGGAAATGAACCAGACCTTTCAGCAGCCCATCCAGGGCCAGAGATTAAAGACTACCTCTTTCTTTCTCTCTGTGCCAAGGATGTAAGCACAGGCATGCAAATTTTAGGTACAAATTTCCAAACTGATTTCACCTCTGGCTGTACAGCACCTGGGGATGTTATCCATGCCTGCTCAAGGACCTGACCCTCCAGAGCGGCAATGTCGTTGCCAACAGCTCTCACTGCAAGGCTGCAGGCTGGCTTGTAGCTTTTACCCTGTTCTAGAGGACTTTTGTCGAGCCAGGATAAATGACCTGGGTCCAAAAGTTTGTCTGATTTTTTTCTCAATAGTCTAATAAAATCTTTCACCTACAAACCTTCCTGGCATGCTGTAGATGAAAAATACAGGATCATCAGGGCTGTGGCCAAATTTCATTAGCTGCTTGCACAGAAGCGAGCCAGGCACTGTGACTGCTGACAAGCTCAGTCTCCAAACTCTACAATGAGGCAAAACGGTAGCAAGGCAGCATCCATGTCCCCAGAGTGGGCCCTGGCTTCCCGCAGGGCTCCTGGGGGGCTGGACCTGTCCCAGCCTTGCGGGCTGTGGTGGCTAGCAAGAGTGCAGGGGAGGATGCCAAGCAGGCAGTGCTCCTCCCGCTGAGATGCTCAAAGCTTTCGCTCCTCCACACCAGGCTGCTGGTGAAGCTGAGAGCCTGTGCTTCAATGCCAACTTGCTATTCAGGCTCACGGTCATCGAGCTGCTGGCCCGGAGCGTGTTTTCTCCCTGTCACCCGCTGCCAGCTTCTCTTGCACGCTGCCTCCCACAGACTCCCACGCTGGGTGCTGGCGCCTGCCTCTCCCAGCTGGGCTCAGCTCCCCACTTGGCAGGCAGGCATCCCCAGCTGGGTGTCCCCAGAGCCAGCATCCCTGGCTGTGCCTTGCTGCTTCCCTGCCCTTGGAGAGCAGCTGCTGGAGCCTGGCTCTGCCAGGTGCAAGCTGGGCTGCAGCTCTCCAGAGTGACTTCGCTCATTGGCTCCATGTTTGCTTTCCCCCTAGTATGTGGAGAAGAAGACTCAGAGTGACAGCTCAGCCCTTCGGCTAGTGCAGAAACCAGTGCCATCCTGCACACGGCCAGCTGCTTCCGAGCAAACTGAGTGTCATAGAATGGTTTGGGTTGGAAGGGACCTCAAAGATCATCTAGCTCCAACCCCCCCTGCCATGGGCAGGGACACCTTCCACTAGACCAGGTTGCCCAAAGCCCCATCCATCCTGACCTTGAACATGTCCAGGGAGGAGGCATCTACAGCCTCTCTGGGCAACCTGTTCCCGTGCCTCACCACCCTCACAGGGAAGAATTTCTTCCTTATATCTAATCTAAATCTACCCTCCTTCAGCTTAAAGCCCCTTGCCCTATCACTACAATCCCTGATAAACAGCCCCTCTCCAGCTTTCTTGTAGCCCCCTCTAGGTACTAGAAGGCCGCTATAAGGTCTCCCCGGAGTCTTCTCTTCTCCAGGCCGAACAACCCCAACTGTCTCAGTCTGTCTTCGCAGGAGAGGTGCTCCAGCCCTGTGATGATCTTCATGGCCCTCCTCTGGACTCGCTCCAGGGGGTCCATGTCTTATACTGGGGACCCCAGAGCTGGACACAGTATTGCAGGTGGGGTCTCATGAGAACAGAGTAGAGGGGGAGAATCACCTCACTCAACTTGCTGGTCCCTTCTTTCTACCCAGTCATCATCTTCTGTAAGAGTTTGTCGTCCTCAGGAACGATGGCATGCTCCAGCACATGCATGAGGAAGCTGGAAAATGCGCTTTGTCCCAAGTCCTAGAAATCAGATGACCTGAACATGCACAGCCTTCAAATCACATGGCAAGGCTCTCCTATTATATTTGCTCTTCATATAATGGGGTGCAAGTAATATCTCTGCTGAACGGCTGCACTACATCACTTCTAGTGATGAGATGATTTCCATAGGGTCCATAGAGAGGAATAATGTTTTCACCAGTAATTTTAAGGGTAAAACCTAGAGGAAGGGTGGGGAGATGTATAGAGCTGTTACAAGAGCAAATACAGTCTTAGCTACAGTTTTCTTAAAAGACTGAAATAGCTATGAACAAAGTAAGTAGTGGCCAGTGCTAGATATTCCTGTGCTCTTTTCCCTCAAGGTGAAGAATCGGGAACTGCTGCAGGTAAGACAGACAACATCAACACGTTACCAAAGGTCAGTGTCCAGGCTTCTGGGTTCATTGTTGGGTTGGGCTTAGCATTGCCTACATATCTGAGACTGGCATCCCATAGCTAGTGATGCCACTACATACGTGTATACGGTACATATATATCCACAGTGATAGGAACAGATAAGGGGAAGTCGGTAGTGATCTCAGAGGGAGATCTACTAAACACACCAACTCTAGTTGCAAACTGTCACCACCAAGCAAGTCTGCTCCTCATCATGTAGGTGCTGTGGAGTGAGAAACCACAGCTGGAGGCATTTACTTCTCAGTAAAAGGGGGACCCATCTGATAACATTGCTCCTTCTTTCAGGGGCCTTCCTCATCCCCTATTTCCTGACGCTGGTGTTTGCTGGGATTCCTCTCTTCCTGCTGGAAACCGCTCTGGGCCAGTATACCTCTGTCGGTGGACTGGGAGTCTGGAAATTAGCACCCATGTTTAAAGGTACTGTACTGTAAGTTTGTGAAGGTGATGGCACATAGCTACAGAAAAAAAAAACCCCTTTAATGATTTGGGGAGCAAATCAGCAAATTCATGGGGACTGGGATGGGGTGGCAGGTGAGGGGGATTTTTCCCTCTGTCTTTATCAAGCTGTCCTTGACGCTGATGTCTGCAGTCACTAACATCACTGCTCTGTTCAAGCAGTCTTGCATGGTGACAAGGCCCTTAATGAGCAGCAGGGACTAAGATGGAGGGGATCTGGTTGCAGAAGAACTTCCCCAAGCCTCCCTGTGTAGGCTTACTTTAATTGCATGGGAAAGCTGTAGACGTGGGATGTGAACTTGTTGCTGTATCTGGAGTAACTGCATTCTGGAAACCAGTGGTGATTTAGAAATGCCTTGGATGTGAGACAGAGTGATTCTGCCAGGGCAGTGACTGGATCCTGTTTTCATGGACCTCTGTCCCTAAAGTACCTGCAGCATACCGAAAGGTAGCATTGCTCAACCAGTGGAAATGGGTGGGTGGGAGATGTGAGGGAACGAGCCTCCCTTGCGGACCAGCTCACAGTGTAACTGTAACACGTGCTGCGTTGATGAGCTGATTTGCTTTTTCTGGCTCTGCCACAAAACTTGCCGTGGTGCCCATGAGCTCAATTGGGTACCAGAGACCAGGATTGATGCTGCTCTCTGCCTTCATTCACAGGAGTGGGACTGGCAGCGGTGGTTCTCTCCTTCTGGCTGAACATCTACTACATTGTCATCATTGCCTGGGCTCTCTACTATCTCTTCAACTCTTTCACTGCGGTGAGTCACAAGGCATTGGCTGTGTTCTGAGTCTTTACTCCCTGCTTTAGGGGGTTGAGTTGTTTACACCACAAAACACGCACTAGCTGCTCGTAATTTGTGCAAAGAGCCTTTGTCAGCAGCCTGCTGGACCCTTCCTGAAGAGGTTCATCAGCCCTGGAGGCAGCTGTGTAGTGGTGATGGGGACTGATGCTTGTCCTCTGGAGGGGATGGTCCCATCTCCTCTCTGGGAACTGTTCCCCACTCATGTCAGTCTATAAAACTCACCTTGTGTCTCTTGTATTTCTAGAGCTGTGTGAATCTAAGAGCCACACATTTCCACAACTGGTTTTGTCACATATGCTCATTACCCAGGACTTAGGCCTTACCTTAATTAGTCCTCATTTACGCTTTTCTAGATAAATGAAATCCTGGGGATTTTTTTCTGTTGGGAAAAAGATTCAGAAAGCATTTAGATGTGACTGTCCCTTAGCGTGTGCTTTGGCATTGTGGTTTGTAGTGGGTTCCACTCCCATAGCAGGGTCTTCTACCGTACAATAAGAATCACACCCCACATTAGCTTCTTGGTAGCTGAATCATTTATTTTGGCCCAGCAGCTAGGAAGAGCTCCCTAAACTTGACTTTCTGAGCAACCTGCAGCCTTGAAGACATTAACCTGGTGGTTCAAATGGGATCTTTTTTCATTTCATTTAGATATAACCCTGAAATGCTGTTATAAATGCTGTATATCCAGTTTCACTTCTTGTTTCATCAAACATTTCAAGTACCTATCAAGACTTTTGCTAAAATATTATGTTTGGCATTCCCAGCTGTGTTTCTGCCATCAATACCCACTGGGGTCCAGAACAAAGCTCCTGAGTCCAGAACAAAATTGTCAGTCATGGATGATTAGGTGCACCCTTGGGGGATTCACAAACGAACAAAAGTCTCCCCCAAAGGAACCCACACCAATTACACCCTGGGCAGGATACATCTTAAGGATGAGGCTTTGGTACATTCAGGTGTCACAGACCGGAGTGGTGACAGGGCTCGTAGCCACACAGGCAGCTCCAGGTGTTTGGCTCAAAGCCTTTTCTTTTACCAGAGAGAATTCCAGATTCCCAAAAGGAGCCAAGGTGCAAATAAAATAGCTAGTCTGATGCTTGTCCCCTGTCCCTCCTAAATTTGACTAGGAGTGTTTTGAACCTGAATAGGAGCCCAGCTTGCCTTCTGCAGTTTCTGTCCTCTGAAATTCAGAGGAACTGGAGCAGCAACAAACTGTCCCCCTGCCTGCCCCTCCTTATAAGAGCTGTGCGGCATCTCTGATGTGCAAACTGCTTGGTTGAAGGGCTGCTGTGTGGTGCCGCTTGAGCCATTGCATTTGCTTCAGTGCAATTAGCAAGACCACAATGAAATCACTGGGTGGGTGCAAACAGCTTGGGTAGCCCCTGGGGTGTCCCCACCTGCCCCTCCCATAGCCTTTCTTCTGCCAAGCCAGCGTGCATTAGGCGGTATCATCTGCTGGAGTCAACTGATCTAGGTGGGGGGTGGTGGTGAAGGCTGCACTTAAAGGCACTGATGCCACAAAGCGCTCAAAACACAGATAATATTTCTAAAGGGGTCTGTGTTCGTGGATGAATAGGGATGGATACAAACATCTTCTTAAAGCTTTGTTGAGTTGGAGCCTGAGGTCTTATCTGCAGAGGGAAACCATCCAGAATAGTCGTTCTGCATTTATCTGCATGCACTGCACTCGGGAAATGAGATTGCACTCGGGAGACATATCTGAGCTGCTCTTGTTGGGCTGCCTTGGCCGCGGTGCTACATGGCATGGGTGAGTTGCCCTGCGTGCTCGCACAGCCCCTGACGCTGTGCTTTCATCACTTGCAACGCCAGAGCTGATCGTATTATATCTGTAGAGGCGTGCTGCCGTCACACTGCTACCTACGGTGTAAACATCTCTCAGGAATCCCTGTGTGCTGCTTATAATCAGGGCAGGGGACAGTATGAAATTGCTACTACGTTTTAAATTTACTCCTGGGCTTATTGTATTTCAAGCATTGAAGCTTGGTCTAAATGAGAGATAAGAATCAAATCATTGTTTATTCTTTGTGCAGTAAATTCCAACCACTTGTTGAGTGAAGCTAGCCAAAAGCTATAATGATTATAAACACAATATCCCCCAGTAGCTATTTTAATTAGTAGCTATTAATTACCAACAGTTAATTGGAAATGGCTTTATATCTGGGGAATTGCTAGCATTTTATTAAGCTACAGTATTGCCCTAATCACGTCGTGATATTGTTTCTTGGAAAATCCATGTCACAATTTATCATTATTTCAGAAAATTGTTTCGTGCTTTTGGCTGCAAGGTTTCTGCCCATCCAGACGAGCTGCCCATCCTCTGTGCAAAAAAAAATGGGGTTTCAATTTAAAAGAAGGCCAAATTTTGCTTCTCATCACCGCTCCTGGGAGCTGTCACATTAATGATATCCCTGCTGTCCTTGTGCCGGCGCAGGACCTGCCGTGGCAGAGCTGCGGGAACGCCTGGAACACCGACCGCTGCTTCTCCAACTACTCCCTGAGCGACACCACCAACCTCACCAGCGCCGTCACCGAGTTCTGGGAGTACGTCCACAGCCTGCCTACACCAGGTTTCTCCCCCTCGCTGCGGCCGTCGTGCCTGCTTGCCAGGGCTGCGGCCATGCCTGCCGGCACCTTTTCTCGGACAGCCTTGGCAGGAGGGCGTCAGAGCCCGCTGTCGGCCAGGGTGGGCACGGGAATGGGGTGCGCTGTGCAGCTGCAGGTCAGAGGGAGAGAGAGGATAACAGTCTCTCCGACTCTTTTCTCCTTCCTTTATCCCATCACGATGAGCCGCAGGTCCCTCTGGGGTTTGGAGGCTCTTGTGCTTGTCTGCACCTGGCCCTTCACCATCCAGCCACCTCTGGGATCACTGTTCCCTCTGCCCCCAAGGGTTGGGCTTCCCCTTAATGCAACCTCTCCCACCCCCAGGAGGAACATGCACCAGATGTCCGGGGGTCTGGGGGAACCCGGCACTGTCCGCTGGCCCCTGGCCGGCACACTGGCCCTGGCCTGGCTGCTGGTCTACTTCTCCATCTGGAAGGGCGTGGAGTGGACGGGCAAGGTACGGTGCGAGGAACCGGGTGTTTCGGTGCTGCCTCTCATTGCTGTGCTCAGGTCTTCACCATCGAAATGTCCTCCAGACTCAATTTTGTTTGAGTGCCTGTAACTAAGGGTTATGGTGTTTCAAGGCAGAATCGCTGTAGATGCTATTAAATTCCTGACATTTACCTTTCACGGTTGTAAAAATTGCTACTGTGTTTATGGTAATTTTCATTCTAAGCGTAGAGAATAGCTCTTCCCTGTAAAGTCCTGGGTCTGAGTATTCAGTCTCTTTGGGAAGAGATTTGCAAAGATTACTTGCATTTCCCACATCAGGGCAGTCCTTTGAGAGAGCAGGGCCTCTCCTGGGCTCCCCCTTTTGAAAACCATGATTTCTTAAAATATTGCTGGTGGCAAAAAACCTCACCACCTCCTTTAAAAATTTTTCCTGCTGCCCTTTAGGTATTGGTGGGAGACCTTCAGATCAGAAGCATGTTGTTATTCACTGTGTCGCATTTCAGGCTAGCACAGCAGAAAGGTAATTGCTTAGTTTAGTGAAACAGCGATATTGAGATACTGAGATGTGTTATTTAGAGCACAGTGTGGTGTAGCGGGACAATATTATGAAAGAAATAATCTAGAGGAGAGATCAGAAAGAAGCGCTTCAGGCGTAGGTCACCTAAGCTTCCCCGGTGGCTCTCAAACGGGTCGTAGCTATGCAGCCGCAGCAAAGCCCCGGCGATTGCAGGTACGGGCCCTGCAACGAGGGATGGCATGTACCTGCAAGTCCCTGAAACAGTGCTGAGAAGAAAGCAGTGGAATCAAGACAACTCCGGTTGCTTGATGCATTGGACTAGAGAAACACCAGCTTTAGCTCTGCAAAATAAGGATGTGATGACTTAAAGGGATTACTTCTGTGGACTAAATTTATCCCTGTGCAATTCCCTTGACTTTGGGCAATTCATCCAGAGTTTAGCATGCTACTTTTGCGATTAGTGCGTCCTTGCGTGTCATTGACAGGGAGAAACCTCAAACAGCCAGAAACATTACTAGCACAGGAACGGGAGACAGAGAACACAAAGAAATGTTGCCAAAAGCGGCTGTGCACGGGGAGCCCGTCCCCCTCGTGGGGGGACATGCTGGACGCAATGCCACCACAGGCAGGAAAGCTCCTCGGCACTGGTGGGCTGATGGCTTCTCTCCCATGGTGTCTTTCGCAGGTGGTGTATTTCTCGGCCACCTACCCCTACTTCATGCTTTTCATCCTCTTCTTCCGTGGAGTGACGCTGCCGGGAGCCAAGGAGGGGATCCTCTTCTACCTCACACCTGACTTCAGAAAGCTCTCTGACTCTGAGGTTTGTACCCTAGTGAGGAAAGCTCTTACCTCCCAGTTGTCTCCACATCAGTCTTTCACAGGCACTTCCCTTGAATATTTTAAGTGTTAATAAACCCCCTTGACTAGTTCCCCATTCAAGCAATCAGGACCCTCACAGGCTGAGACAAAGCTGAAGGGCAAGCCCTTCGTGGGTGGAAATCCATGCAGCAGTTCTGCTGTACTCAAGCAGTGCTATCCATGGGATGGGGGGGCAGAAATTACCCCAATGAAGGAAACTCCCCTCCAGGTTGGGAGAGCCTCATTTCACTGACTATCCCAGGGCTGGTCGTTTGGTCTTGATCTGATGGTTCCAGAGAAGGGATGATGTGGTGGTGCTTGCATGGGGGCCTTGGAAGCAGCACAAGCACAACAGTACACACAGCAGCAATTTTTGGAAATGCTTAAATGACGAGTGGTGGCCATTAACATTGCCTTGGTCAGTGGAAGCACAGAGGGGACCCAGGAGGAGCACAGAGGCTTGCAAAGGCAAAGCTTTTCAGGTGACACAGACCCTGCCTTTTTGCAGCAGTGATGCTCCTGTGGCTCCAGAGTCACCAGTCACATGTGAGCGGGGCCAGCTGGACACCCATCATTTTCTGAGGAGTCCCAATGATCCCTCTCGCAGGACACTCATTGTAACTGTACTGCCAGCTGCATTGGCTCTAATGCTGGAAACAGGGCTCTCAAGACCAGAGGAGTTTAGATGTTATGCAATTAAGAAACCAACAATTGCCTGCCTTTTCTTGTGCCTTCTAGGCTTTAAGACCTTAAAGCACTGGGACCAGCTTTGCAAGCTGTCCTATGCAGTTTTTTGCACAAGAAACTCCATGTTGGAAAATCAAAGACATGCTAGTGGAAGAGGAAAGGAGGGGGTGAGCATGGGACATGGGTCTCTGAGGGGAGCAGCACCCCTTGGGGGACAGCTGTGAGAAAGCAAGCACACACACACACCAATTCAGACAATGCGTGAGTCCTTTCTGACCTGCACCAGGGGCTGAGGGACACGGTTCAGAAAAAAGGATGCACAATCCTTCCTCCATCCCCATCCATCCATGGAAGTGGCCTCGAGCCACAGGTTTTGGAGGGCTGGGGATGTGCCTCTGGTGCTGGGCCAGGCTGCACTCTTGATGCACTTACCACGTGGGAGGATACAGAACCTCTGCTCCTCCTCCTCCCCAGGGAGCCATTGCTCCCTAGCAGGCCTCCTCCTGACATTGCAAGCAGGAGAGGCAGTGTCCTGTGTTAAAGGATCCCTGGCAGCCCCATTTAACGCAGTGCCCTGTGTTCAAGATCCCAGGGGCCCTGCTGACTCCACGTAGCTCTGGGATGTGCAGTGGGTCCAGGAAGCAGCATCCTGCAGCCACGTCTTGGGCAACACAAATGCACAGCATCACCACCCAGCAGGCAAAACGGGCTGCACCAGCTGTCTCTGTTACTCTCCTCTCCACCTGCACCACCATCTCTGAGCCCTACCTCACCCTAGAGATAGGTGTTCAGAAAAGCATGGAAAAAAGCCTGTTCTTCAGATGTTTTCAGCCCAGTTGTCAGTCACACAGCTACAGGTTTCAAGGTGGCTGGCCAATTTCTTTCAGAAACCAAATGGCCAGCTGCTGGCTCAAACATTTCCTTGGAGCTTGGGTCAGCAGCCAGCATTGCAGGTACCCGTGGCCCTAAGTGACAGGGAGCCCTCAGGTCCTGACCACCCCAGTGGGCTGTATGGCCAAGTCTACAGCCCTGTGGTTGGCATCCAGCCCCCTCGTTAGCCTGGCATGGAGCTGCTGCAGGAGACACCCCTCCAGCATGGACTCCCTCCCGCTGCACTCCTCTCCCGGCTCCTTCTCCGCAGGTCTGGATGGACGCAGCCACACAGATCTTCTTCTCTTATGGCCTGGGGCTGGGGTCTCTGATCGCTCTGGGGAGCTACAACACTTTCCACAACAACGTCTACAGGTCTGTTGGGTTTTTTTCAGCCTCCTGCGTGGCGAGGAGTGCTCACGGGTGAGGTGGGGGTCACAGTGAGTCTGGGGTGCCTGATCTCTGATGTCCCCTCGCTGGCAACGTGCAGCTTAGGCTGCCCGCTGCGATCGTCATAGTGGGGCTCCCCTCCTGCAGGACATTTAACACATCACCTGTGCTACCTCTCCAAGGCACAGGAGCTGCTCTTGGCAGGGCTTGGTCTTTTGTTTACCCCACCCTTCGCTCCTGGTAAGGGACCTGCAGGTGGTTTCTTTTCTTTCTTTTTCTCTTCCAGAGACTCCATTATTGTCTGCTGTATAAACTCCACCACAAGCATATTTGCCGGATTTGTTATTTTCTCTATTGTTGGCTTCATGTCGCACATCACGAAGAAGTCTATCTCAGAGCTGGCATCCTCAGGTAAGCAGAAACCCAGGTTCAAATGCAACAGCAACCTTTGAGAGCAATTTGTCGGTGAGCATGGGATGCTCCCAGGCCTTTCCTCACCAGGACCCAAGTGTGCAACCGTCTTTGCACGTTCTCCCACCAGGACGGGTCTCAGGCACCTGTGACTGAAGTTCATCACACTTTGGCTGCAAAGGGCATCTCCATCTGCTTTTAATGCTCACCTTCTTTTAGTGCTGAAGTTTTATGTGCTTTTGCTGCAGTGAGATATTTAGGCCATTCGGTTTCTGAAACATTCCTATGGAGAAGATACTGCCTATGTTTTCAGTAGACGTGATTAAAATTTGGATTCCCTTTTCCTTGTGAAATTTTGAAATTGTAATCTCAGAATAACTTTTAACCAAGATGGGATTGTGTCTTTTTGCACAAAGACATATTTTGAAATTGCTGTCTTCCCAGAGAAAGTCTTTATCTCAAGAAACAGCATTTTGTGAACGAAAAAAAAAAAAAGACATCAGGAAAGTTATAACCAGATCTGAATATCAGTTTATTTTTCTAGCAAAGTGCTCCAGCTTCATTTGTTAGCAGTAATCTGATGACTTTCTTGCTTGCAGAAAGAGAAAAGGTAAAGCGTTTCTCCAGTCACTCCTGCCTCCCTATCCTACCCCCGTGCACCCCTCCAGGCTGGTGTGTCATAGGCGAAGGCTCAGGTTTTTCTAGTTCCTACATTAAATACCTGCAATTCTTGATTGTGATCATCGTCTTTCTGTTCAACTGTTGCCCTTATCTCAGACCTCCCATCAAATGCTTCATAAACATGGGCTCGTCCCTCTTTTCATTACTGCAGGCCCTGGACTGGCTTTCCTCGCCTACCCGCAGGTCGTCACACAGCTGCCCCTGTCCCCGCTCTGGTCGATCCTCTTCTTCTCCATGCTGATGATGTTGGGTCTGGATAGTCAGGTGAGATGACCCAGGCACAAAGTGGGATAAATATGAAAGTATCTTCAGATATGATGGTGGTGTCCCCTTCTGCGCCTTGGCATAGTGCTGAGCAGGGCCTTTTCTTACTCTTAATGGTGAAATGCAGCTGCATGAATGAAGGTCTCCCGTGACCATTGCCTCCACACTCTTCCCTCAGGTGGGCATAGACTGCAAGTGTGACAGTATCTGACCACTACCCATTGCACCAGTCCTTGTCCTGCTACCAATTAAAAATAAGAGCAATGACCAGCTTCCAGCAGCCCAGCAGAACCAGTCAGCCTTATAAGATGATCACCACTTCCCTGTGGGAAGAGAGGATCTTTGGAAAGCTTTTCTCTGTTCAGATCAATTTTTGGCCCCAGTGGAGTGCCGGTGCTGCTGTGTGGGCACAGCACGTCCCCACCTTCCCGGGTGACCATGGCAGATGAGCTCACAGGCTCTAAGTAGAGCTAGTGGGAAACTATCCCTGCCAAAATACTTTGGGGCAAGGGAAAAAGGAAAAAGATTTCTTTCAAATAATAACTGCTTTGTTCTTGTAAGATGTGATTTTACACACACACACACATGCATAAAAAATTTGTGAAATAAGGGAAATAAGTATTAACTGTTCCATTTTGTGTCTGCGTGATAATAATTTGTGGTCATCCCAGCTGTCTTGGTATTTTGTGAGAAGCTCATTTTGGATGCTTTGGATTTCCTTACTGTGTCATGGAGCACCCTGACCAAACTGCATTTACTGTGAGGCACTGACAAGAAAATGTCATTCTTTTGGCTTACTTCATAGGTTAGGGTAGAAAGTCTCCACCTTCTCTCGTCCCAGGAGCTGGGAGTAGCATCTCTGCACAAGGTACCGGTCTCCAGCCAGACCGCAGCGCTCCGACACAGTATGGACAGGTTGCGCTGAGAAAAGCAGCGATGCGGCATTTGAATTAGGGCTCTGCCATGGTGTGGGAATGGTGGTTTGATGCAGTGTTTCAGCATTGTTGTTGGTAACGAAAGTGGCCCCGATCAGAGCAGAAGCACCCTGGTCTGGTTTGTAGGTAAGCAGGGATAGATCCTGGCAGAAGGAAGGAAGGAGCCGTGCCTTGGGAAAGGCTGGTGCCTGGGTACCCTCACTGCTTTGCATTTAGATAAGCCTTGCAAGGTATTTGAGGAGGAAGCAGTTGGATGTGGCAAAAGGTCTCTAACCCTGCCCCCCTCAGAGCCCTCACAAAACAACAAAAAAAATCATGTATTTTTACAAGTGGTGATACTTTTTTTCTGATAATTCAGCATAAAAGTAGCTACCCAGTGAAGCAATGAATTGCAGTGTGTTTCTTTTTTGAGTGCATCAAACCCAAAGGCTCCTTCAAAAGCCTGTTCTTGGTCTGTCACATCCTCCCCTGTGCCCGTGTGCTCTTTCTTTGCAGTGCAAACCACTGGTAAAAAAAAAAGGAATGCTCTCTTGGATTACAGGTAGCATTCATAAACCCAGGTCTAGTTCATAATCAGACTCAGACCTATTCCTGAAGTGTCATACCTGGTTTCCAGGAAAATGTTATCAACCAAATCTGGGTTTCAATTATAGCACACTCCCATGAACACATCATAAAGCTCATGTCTGCATTAGCACAGACATTATTTGGCAAATAATTTCAAATAATGACTAAATGTTCCGAAAGGAGCTACATTTACAGAAAAAAAAAAAAAATTACTCTCCATGGATTATTCACTCAGCACTGGTAAATAGTTCGAGACATGACAATAAGCCCTCTAAGCATTGTGTGGAATTTATTTGCTGCATTTGCTTCTGAAATACCACTTGAAATTCTCCAAGTTCCTTCTGACAGCTAGTCTCAGAGGGCAGGCAGTCTGTGGGGGGCTATCATTGCCTGGAGGAGGAGGAGGAAGGGGTGGGGAATGAAGTATCAAAAGGAAAACAAGATTGTAAAAAAGCACAGATAAATACACGTGAATAAGCTTTCCATCTGCATACTGGAGCTCTGATTCAATCAAACACACCATTAACAGCATGGAAGCTTTTGTGTATAAAGCAAATAACACATGCTGCAACAACGGCTGCAATTGCACGTGCATTTTGGAGCATCCAGTTAAAAAAAAAAAAAAAAAAGAAAAGAAAAGATGGTTTTGCTATGTGCTGATTAAATACCGTTTGTGGTACTTGCAGATGGGGAGCAGCCATTTTTCATTTGGGTCAGCAGTCCAGTCCATGAGGCATGGCAGGGCCATAGGGCATTTCTCGCACCCTGCACCCCCAGGGCTGCTGGGCTGGGGCTGCCCCTTGTCACCAGCTGGGCACGGGGCTGTAGGCGCAGCGGAGATGCTCAGGAACTCGGCTAGCAAAGCAAGGTAGGGCTGAGATCTGCATTTGCAACGCAGCAACAAGCCCCAGCCCCTTCACGATGGTGGGAGTGGGTCCACCCTGTCCCTGCGCTTCAATAGTCAGGCTCCTGCAGACGCAGCACAGCTACATCTGCCGCTTTCTGCCGGGGTGCTCATCTCGTCTGCAGCTACTGGAATGGGAGGAATGACCTATATTGATAGACACACGCCTCCCTCCTGTGCCCCCGCTTGCCGCTCGTGTGCCTTAATATTTACTCTGCCTCTGATCCACAGGGGCTTTAGCTCTCTGGCGTCTAGACCCTCTTGCATAATATGCTAATACTTTCTTTTAACCTACCAGTTTCCAGGTCAGGCGTTTTCTCCCCAAGGGAGCTAGCGAGCCTTGTGACTGCAAGCCCGCGTCTGTCCCATGTGAGGCTGCCTCTCACGGGTTATTCATGAGGAATTCCAGCTGTGAGCAGCAAGATCCACTCTTGTGGCTCTCTGCTGCACATCTGGCAGCTGTGGTCGAACTCCCCGCAGGCCCGTGGGTCTTGGTCAGGGTGCTGTGAGTGGCGGAGGAGGGGATAGCAAGCTCCTGACACTGAGAGAGAGTGGGAGACAGACTTTCATTCAGGCTGAGGTGCCACCTACATTGACTCCCAAGCTCAAATTGTTGGACCCAGCAGCTTGTGTAAAGATTAAGCCCCTGACAGAGAAAAAGAGCAAAATACAAAAGTGAATGGAAATAAAATCTTTAGGAGAGAAACCATATCACAGGGTGAGGCATGAGAAAGAACAGAATATGTGCTAAAAATTGTGGCTGGAGACAGTTGGTAAGAAAAATGAAACTTTTTGGAAAGCAGACTGAAGTGTGCATGCACATGGGTGTGCGTTTGTGTGTGTGTGTGCATCCTCATGCACAAGTGCACACATAGGGCAAGGTGAGACGAGGAGTCATGACAATGAGTCAGCTCCTCATTGCTCCTGAAAGCAGCATGCTTTGACTCAGGTGCCTACTTACCTCGGGCAAGCATCTAAGTTTGGGTATGCAGGCTGGGAAATGTGGACCCCAGGCCAGCCAGGGAGCCACAGTCCCCAGGGCTGGAAAGGTGAGCCTGAGGCTGGCATGAGGCAATTTTCAGTAAATGGCATGAAGGCCATTGCCTGGTTTATGGAAAACCAAAAGCAGCGTACCGCTATTGGGTTACCCACCTCATCCATTACACGCCAGCTTAATTTTGATAGGAGGCAAAAAGATTTCAACTCACTTTGTAGCCCTGTCCCCCATCATCCATCTCCCTGTATTTCCCTCTGTGCTTTCCCTGACTTTCATCCCTCTTCCTGCACCAAAGCGCTGTCAGTTTTACTCCCTCCCTTTGTCTGAAACATCTTTTCCTTTGCTTCTTCTCTGCTGGACACCCCCTCACACCCACCTTCTGCACCCAACCACCCCTGTTCCCCCTCCGAACCCTGTTCCCTCTCTGTCTCGCCTGGTGCCAGACCGCCTGGCCCTGCCCATGGCTCCGGCAGCGCCTGGCCATGCAGCCACGTGGAAGGAATAGCTTTCGACAGTGGTTTTTTTTGTCGCGCCTGCTCTTCACACTGTGGTGCCAGATCAGTCCTGACTCTTCCAGACAACGAGCTGGGTGGGATGGGCTGAAAAGCTCGCTGTCAATGAGCATAAAGGCAGCTTAACCCATGACCGAACGGCAAAAGATGCTTTAATAGCACTTGTGTCCAACATAAAAGGATTAGCTCATTAAAATTTCAAATTGAAGCAGTTGAGCTTTGGCGCTCTGGGAATACAGGCTTTCCGCACTGCACCGTGCGGGTATACAGCCCGGGGCCCTTTGCCTCGCTCTGTGCCCAGGTGGAAGCCAGCCCCAGCAGCCAGCAGCGCGCCAGCTCTTCTGCCATCTCTGCCCAGCTATAGGCACGGCTCAGACTCCCTGCTGTTCTTCCATACATCTTTCCAGCCCTCTGCTGCTCATTTTAGTCTATGTACCTCTACCTCTACCTCCGCTTTAGGTCTTCTTTCTTCTCGTTGCCCTGTTCAAAGCTGAATCTGAAAATGCCAGCACTTTCTGGAGCGCTGTCCCAGGGACAGGGAGGTCCCTGACATCCAAGAGCAATGAAACCTTTTCCATTTTCATTGCACTGGCTTGTACATTTACTGAGGGTGACCAGGGAAACTAAGAGCTTGCTGCCCTCATAAACTTTCCAGTATTTTTGCTAGAAGCATGATGTGCTCTCTGAGAGCTCGATGTTAGCAGTGGTTTCTACAAGTAAGATATAAAAGTGAATCTCACAATTTAGCTAGAAATAGGAGGAAAGGATGCACTTCTCATATATACAGTCCAACTGTCCTCATGCCACAGGGCAGAACTAGTAGGAAAACTGATTTGAAGGGAACACTCATGGGGACTTCTTTATGTGTTACGGTGCGGACAGCATTAATATACTGTGCCTGGTATAGCACTGCACAAGCCAGCCAGGTGTTTTCAGCTCTAGAAAAACCATGTGCTGTGAGGATTAAAAGAATGTACTGCATGCACTTAATGTACTGTTCTTGAAAAAGTTAAATAAAATGAAGGATGGAGTAGGCAGAGGTGTTTTTGTTATGCACACGCATGTGAGTCCGGGCAGTGGCTAACGCAGCTCCTTAACGTGTGCTTTAGATCATTGAACAGCACAGGCGCTGCTGCAATAGGCTGAGATGAGCACACATGGGAAAGGAAGAGCAAGCAAGGTCCTGCACATGTCCCAGCAGCAGACAGACGCATTGCTGTGACAGAGCCTGGCAGCGTGGGGGAGCAGGCCAGTGGCGGGGAGGCCCTCAAGAGTACGGGGGAAGAAAGAGGAGGCTTTCCACGGGAGATAGAAAGCGGAGATTTAGGTCAGCTAATTTTAGGTACTTAACCCTGGTACTTTTAGCTCCCTCTATACTCTGTGGAGGGAGAGAGGCATTTTCAGAAGATGGTTTGGACCAACTTTGGGAAGAGGTGCCTCCTTCTTTTCTAGTGTCTGCAGAGAGCACTTAAAGCAACGAGGATCTCAACATTGGAGTTAAATGTTGGAGGTGATGATGTCAGGCTAAGACATATATATATATTTGTCTTTGTTGTATACCTTTTCCCATAGTTCTGCACCGTGGAAGGGTTCATTACAGCCCTGATGGATGAGTATCCTCATCTCCTGAGAGCCAGGAAGAAGGTCTTCATTGCAGTAGTCTGTTTCATCTCTTATCTTATTGGATTCTCCAACATCACCCAGGTACAGATAGCTGTGCTTGTACCTCCATTCATAACACCTTTCAAGTCACTATGGCATGGCACAGCAGCCCTGAAAGCTTTGGGAGAAGTGACAGCATCCCTAGGAGCCATCCTAATGCTGGATAAATGGGCTTGCTCATCACTGCCACATCTCAAGTGACTTAGGATGCCTCCATGATTTTTACCACCATCCTGTTGTCAGTCTGGCTTGTTCTTTTTTGCTATTTGCAGTAAGAGGTAAAGCCAACAGGGCCCAAGCTAAGGGAATGCTTAGTGCAAGGGGTTAAGATAACATAAAGAAGATGGGTCTGTTGGGGCCCTGAACCTCTGGGGCTGAAGCCAAGATTCATATGTGTGGAGGTCAGGGCTGAATGGTCTGGAGACCATTTGTGGAGCACTGTAGGTTCATGAGGAGACAAGGCAGCAAACTCCTGGGAGGGGCAGAGCTGACTAAATTAACTGACTCCATCTAAACCAGAGAAAAGTAAGAAATCCTAGTGAAGCCCTGCTTTTCTCCTCACCCTTGGCCATGCCTGAACAGGCTGGCTAATTGTCTGCAAGAGCACATCAGTTTTGCTGCTGGGGGCCAGACTCCAGTGGAAACATTGCAAGACTGGCTCTACTGTCCAAGGAAATTAACATTAAAGCCAGCAGATGCAGACAGTAGCAATCCGAGCAGCTGGCTGATATTGTCAACCATAATCTATAACTAAAGTCCTTGACCCTGGTTTTGTCTCCTCAGGGTGGCATTTATGTCTTCAAGCTGTTTGATTACTACTCAGCCAGTGGCATGTGTCTTCTCTTTCTTGTCTTCTTTGAGACCATCTCAATTTCTTGGTGTTACGGTAAGTGCAAAAGACCTTGTTCCTTTGTTTTCTCCATGGGCACTGTGAGTTATTTCAGAAGCCTCCCACGGTGAAGCCAATGAAAACTTTGCAACTGAAAATAACTTAGGCTGATAACTCCAGAAAATCAGGAGTGGGAGGCTGTCATCTCACTTCTCCAGGCCACCACAAAGACCTCTGCACAAACTGGCAAATACCTAGGGTCCTGCCCTCTGATCCTTCAAGAGGAACATGGAAGCTCCTAGCACAAATCTGCTTTTGTGTCCCCATACCCCATCCCCTCCAGATAATGCTTCTCATGCCACACCATCATCACCCTCTTGCTGTGGCTGGCCTGTGTTGTGTAATGAGAAGAGGTGATGACCATGGTGCTGAGACGGGATGTTTTTTTCAATGCTCATTTCTTCTTGTAGGTGTGAACAGATTTTACAGGAACATTGAAGAAATGATTGGCTACAAACCTTGCATATGGTGGAAGATTTGCTGGGCCTTCTTCACTCCTCTTGTCTGCCTGGTAAGAACAGAGACATCTCATCTACAGGAGTGGATCTAGGAGGACCTCTTAGTTTGGGTGGGCTATAAGGGACATTATGTTCTCAACCCAGTATAGGTCTGGTACAATGTGGTTCTAGGCAGATCTAAGATGGGTAAAGTAATAAAGGAGCGTCTTTCACTCTGCCTGCTGGAAATCACCCAAAAGAAAAGCTCTAGATGATTATTTTAATCTAAATTATGCCATCAGTTCTTCATTCTTCTTTCTGAGATGCCAAATGATAAGCAAATAATTTACTGTTTTAAAAAGTTATTGTTGGATCTGGTGAAGACTCTCAGCTACTCCAGCTCCAGCCTCAGCCCCTGATAAAGCCCCCGTCAGAGCAAAAGACATTAGCAAATGTAGTATAGCTGACTGCAGAGCAATTTAGCCTTTGCTGGTTCCTGCACTTCCAGCAGATGTACAGGGAATGGCATGAGAAGGCCAATGATAGGAAGATCTTAGCTCTTGGGAGCTAAGAGGATAGCGAAGGAAAGAATGGATGGAAGGACCCTGATTTTGCAGGCCTTTACCTGCGATGGCTGGTGCTCTTTTCCCAGGGTGTGTTCTTCTTCAGTGTGGTGGAAATGACCCCTTTGACACTAGGAAAGTACATCTATCCTGCGTGGGGACAAGGCATTGGTTGGCTTATGGCTCTGTCCTCCATGGTACTGATTCCAGGATACATGCTGTACTGTTTCTTCACCTCAACGGGGACTCTCCGGCAGGTATGAACATCTTCACCATTCCTCCTCTGCTCTCTGCTTAGAGCAACTCCCTCACTGAACTAAATCTAAGGAGAACCAAGCAGACTGTGCTCTGACAAAGTTGTCAGAGTACTTCAGGTCGGTGCTGCAGAAGCTCTGTGCACCCTCTCCTCCAGGAGGGCTCAAATCAGCCCCAGCACACAGAACGGCCTTTGGTGACACAGGATCACTGGAGAAGACTTACTAGCAAAACTGAGCATTAACATGTTTAAATGACTAGGAGCACTGCCCAGGCAGCATGTGGGTGACTGCATCTGGCCAAGTGGGTAGGCCTTCAGGTAGTCTCTCCTTAGGTCAGCCTGTTGTCCCTCACTGGGCCTTGTGTTGTCACC